GTGTGTGTGTGTGTGTGTGTGTGTGTGTGTGTGTGTGTGTGTGTGTGTGTGTGTGTGTGTGTGTGTGTGTGTGTGTGTGTGTGTGTGTGTGTGTGTGTGTGTGTGTGTGTGTGTGTGTGTGTGTGTGTGTGTGTGTGTGTGTGTGTGTGTGTGTGTGTGTGTGTGTGTGTGTGTGTGTGTGTGTGTGTGTGTGTGTGTGTGTGTGTGTGTGTGTGTGTGTGTGTGTGTGTGTGTGTGTGTGTGTGTGTGTGTGTGTGTGTGTGTGTGTGTGTGTGTGTGTGTGTGTGTGTGTGTGTGTGTGTGTGTGTGTGTGTGTGTGTGTGTGTGTGTGTGTGTGTGTGTGTGTGTGTGTGTGTGTGTGTGTGTGTGTGTGTGTGTGTGTGTGTGTGTGTGTGTGTGTGTGTGTGTGTGTGTGTGTGTGTGTGTGTGTGTGTGTGTGTGTGTGTGTGTGTGTGTGTGTGTGTGTGTGTGTGTGTGTGTGTGTGTGTGTGTGTGTGTGTGTGTGTGTGTGTGTGTGTGTGTGTGTGTGTGTGTGTGTGTGTGTGTGTGTGTGTGTGTGTGTGTGTGTGTGTGTGTGTGTGTGTGTGTGTGTGTGTGTGTGTGTGTGTGTGTGTGTGTGTGTGTGTGTGTGTGTGTGTGTGTGTGTGTGTGTGTGTGTGTGTGTGTGTGTGTGTGTGTGTGTGTGTGTGTGTGTGTGTGTGTGTGTGTGTGTGTGTGTGTGTGTGTGTGTGTGTTAAATACGCAAATGCAGCTTCATAAATACAACGCGCTTTTGCAACTGCTTGCCACTGCCAGGGAACCTGCTTCTTTATCCCACAAACAATGAAAAAGGCAAACCATGGGTGTGTGCGAGCGTGTGTGCGCGCCACTTGGGCCATTGGCTGCCTGCCAAAGTCTTCCCGCACCCTCCCGCTGCCTTCTCGCACAGCCGGCCGGCCAGCGAGAAAGACCTATGTCAGAACAACAAGCGGGCAGTCGCCAGGCGTGTCAATGCCCTAGGTGCGCTTGGGCAAAAACAGGCTGTGGGCCAAAAGCGGGTACCCAAAATGGAACCCTGGTAAATGAAAGAGATGGCTGTGCCGCACACAAATGGAATTCCCATAATTAATGGCACCTAAATGGAACCAAAGACTCAAAGCTGCGGTTGCCCTAGCTCTTTAATTTTGAGCCACACCCAGATGCAACTGGTCTGCGATTAGAATTACAACCCAAATCCGAAGTGGCTGTCACCCCTAGCATCCGAAAAAAGCCTGAACTGAAACCGATGGAATCCATCTATGTCCCACTGATGGCACTGACACACCTATCAAAGCTGGTACTAGTACAAAGCAAACTGGGAAGTGAATGTAGCTTTTTGCAGGACCTCCATAGGTGATGTCTGTTGGTGCCAGCCCCCAAGGGGACAATATGGACCCCGGATCAGTCACCTTGCGGATTTTGGGGGGATGCTTCCTCGCAAGATCGGATCTGGCACACCCCTCAAAAGTAGCCTTCCGGATTTCTGGAAAAATGCTTCCCCTGGTGCAACCCCTTAAAGACACAAACTGCCAACTCAGAACCACCCCTCTTACGAACCCCGCCGTCCCGTCGCCGCAGCGCAGCAAGGTCCAGTGCCCGCCGGCAACCACCTCACATGTCGATTTCGGGAGGCGGCTCGAGAAAAGACCCGAGGCTCAAGAAAAAAAGGCGTTGCATTTGGTTTACGGACCCCAAACCGTTTTCCAGCAGTGGGTCTCTCTCTCTCTCTCTCTCTCTGGTATGTTGTGTTTCTTGGAGGGTTTCAACTTTCTGACACGATTCAAAGCCATACCATCCGTATCGGATTGGTGGCTGGGTCAGTTGTTATTTCGCAAGTTGCTATCAAACAAGGATGGCGTGGAAATTTCCGGGAACAAGATTTCAAGGAACCTTCATGTGCGGGATCTCCCCACGGACCTGTGACCCGAGCAGGACTGTACACCACAAAAACAGCCAGTTTGCAATGGGGAAACCAAGAGTGTCACCATTCGGGGGCTGCCCGAACACCACGAAAAATTCCACGGACTTTGGAAGATCCCTGTTCCTCTTGGGGAACCTATGCGGGAAGGGGGCGCCTCCCGCACGTCAGCGAGCGGCCGCACCAGGACCGGCAGCCGATGGTTGCGGACGCCTGGAAAGGTGACTCCGCAGACCCGGCGGAAGGCAGTGGCCAGTGACGGCTGTTGAGCCCGAGCTTCTATCAGAGGCTCTGCTCGAGTTGTGGCAGGATAAGACCCCCTCATTGAGGAGGGGACTTTCCGCCGGAGGTAAACTGTAATGATTCAACTGCCAAAAAGTGTCAACGCGAATGTCCATGCCTGAGCAAGTGATCGTCGTCAAACCAAACTCACATCGTCTGAGCTCCAGTCATTGCCCCAAGTCTTTTGGATAAAGGACCTAAGAGGGGCATCACAGGTTCCGACGCCTCAATGAGTTGCCCTAGTCTGGACGTGAAGCACGGGTGAAGGTAAGGGGACATAGAAAATGTTGGCAGTTATCCTCCTTGCAGGGACATCGTATCCCGCCGCGCCTCCCATGCAGAGCTGGCCTTGCTCACCTCGATCCGTGCCAAATGCGAGCATGGGGAAGCCTTTGTTTTCCGGTGGGGCCATTTCAGTTTCATTTCGGGCTGCCAAAACAAGACAGACTGCTCTCAAAAAAGCGCAGCCTGCGGCCTGCGAAGCATGAATTGCTCAAAGCACGCAACTTGTCTGCGCGCGCCAAAACAAAAACAACAAAGCAACCTCCTGCTCGCAGCGGTTTTGCATAAACATGCATCAACAATCCAACCAACCCCTGCTGTCGGGCTTTGCCTCAGTACCGAATATGGAAAGGAAGGGTCCAATCCATTTCCTACAAGGGATAATTGTGGTTGGTCGCGTGAGTCATGCGGTTCCCATATTTGCCTTCACGGAGCACTTCTCCCGAAGGCTCATTCTAAGCGAGTTTGAAGGATAGGTTGCTTTCGGAGCCCGCCAACACGTGGAGCTCTGGTTGGTTCAGGGTTGGCTGGTTGCTTGGCTGGTTGGTTGGTTGATTGGTCGCTTGGTTGGTTGGGTGGGTGGTACGTCAAGTCACGGCAGGCGCAGGTTTGCAGCTGGAAGAGGCCAAATTTGGGGATGCACAAGCCAAGTTCGGATATAGATGGCTTCCTTGAAACAAACTCTTCCAATGGCTGAGGGTCCAAAAATGGGTACCCGAAACGAAACCCTCTCTAAATGGAAAGGACTGAAATCTGCGGTCCCCTGGTTTGAGTTTTGACCCAAACCCAAATTATTGGTCTCTCACGACAAAAGAAGCTGCAGTCGCCAACGCTACGGTCCGGGGACGGCACGTCGCCAGATTCGATGCGCGCTCTGAGCTTCTGGCCGCTGCCGGCCGCAAAGATTTGGCCCCGCTCGGTCAGGCACAAGGTGTGGTCGTCCCCGCAGGCCACCTGCTGAACGGAAAGGCTTTGGTTTGGTTGGGGTTGGTCCCCTAGGCTTTGGAAAGGCTCTGGAAAGGCCTCCCCAACATCATGTTGACCCCACATTGATCAACCAACCAGTTGATTAATGGGGGGGTGTCCAACTGGGTGTGGGGAACCAAACCACTTTTGGAGGAGAACACAGAACACCCCCCCTTATCAATAAACTGGGGGTTGATTAATATCGGCTCAACATTACCCAAATGGAAAGAGTGCCACCTGTGGCTCTGAGGAAAAAACATTTTTTCGTTGTTGGAAGGAATGCCATCCATGTGGTAGGGAGGTTCTCCTATCAAACGAAGCCTGCACGAAGCCGCTAGTCGGCCGGGTCGACGAACTATGGGAAAGGTGTGTTGTTGTTGCACCAAACGACTCTGCATGGCTTCCTGAAATATGGGAAAGTGCGTGTGGTTGTGAAACGGCTCGCATCTCTTCGTGCAAGGCCTCATTCCAGCTATCAGTGGCAACTCACTTACTGACGTTTGAGCGAGCCAAGCTGTTGCCTTTCGTATCATTCTCTCTCACCATCTTACCTGCCACTGGACGCAGGGGGCCAGCTCCTTAGATGTCCGGTACAACGAGGACCGATTTGGGGGGCCAAAGCAACCTGAAGCTCGACACGACGGTCGTCGCGCATCCGTGCCACCCGTGCCTGCACTAGCATGGTGCCAACTTGGAAGGGGATCGGCGAAGGCTTCCAGCCTGCACCCATCAAGCAAATGAGCCTCACTGCCCCCAGAATACCAAGCCCGGGAAATGGCAACAGGACATGGCAAAATGGCAGGGAGCGGAGATGCGAAAAGAAAAGAACACCCAGCATGGGCCCCTCCGAATGCGTGGCATCTGGTTGGTCTCCTTTTCAAAGCGCCAAACTGACACTTGGCTTGGCGGAAGGTGTTCCCACATCGTAGGCAAAACAAACTGAAACAGCTTGATCACACCGAATAAGAAACAATGACCCCCAATGACCCCAACTCGTGACCCAATGAATCAAAGTCTCGAAACCTCCGGAACGGGCGACTTCGCCGAACCCCCCGAACCCTCTTGCGCATGCCACCGCACCTTCTCCCAACAAACCCACGGCTCGCAGCCACCCGCCTCCCCCCTCCCTGGCGCAGCCCGCAGCCTGCCTTCCCCAGGGGCGCAGGCCCGGCCCAGCTGGCCCGACAGGCCGTCGCCGAAGGTGAAGGCCTGGCCTCACGGAACTAACTCCACGCGGCGTGGCGTCGCACTCGGGCCAAAGACGACTGGAAGTGCAACCCACACGGGCAAAAGTTGAGGAGGCAACTGCAAACAGTTGCCGCTGAAAACCTGACTCGAGCTCTTGCGTGGGCAAATTGAAGTGCGTAAGCTCACGCAGCTTTACTCTGCTGCCGCCGGTCTTGTGAGATGCAAAGTCCAACTACCTAGAGCTCTTCAAAAGAACTTCACGTCTCCAGCCTCTGTCCAGTACAAAAACCGTCAACCACTCATTCTGGAAGAACCCACCCAACAGGGTAGGCCGGTGTCCATGCTATGACAAGAACATTGGATTCGACAGGGGCTCACACATCTAGCACTTAGTGCTCAGAGCTTGTTCTGATCTTTCAAGTTCACGAAGCAGTGGCCAGTCGCGTAGAAATGACAAAAGCGGCAGGCGAAGTTGCTGCGTGAACAAGCGTTGTGGCGGCATGGCTCCCTGCTGCACCAAGGGCAGGCACTTTCCGACTCACGGCGAGTCGGCCGCACAAGCGCTCCGACGAGCCATTTGATTTGCCCCTTGCAGCGGTATGCCTTGACGTTGCCAGTCTGCAGGATGGTCATCTCTTTGGTCATGTCCTCGAAATCTTTGACCCACATCCAGACATCTTCTGTTGGGCTGGGTAGGATCACACATCGTACCAAACGGGCGTGCACAACATGGAAGGGCACCAGCGGCACTGCCATCACCACTTGCGCCGCTCGCTCCATGCTCTCTGCAGGTCGATGGAGTCAACTTTGTGAGAGCTCAGGCTGCGGTCGGCGAGCAAGCTGGCCCGGAATATGTGGCACAGTGTCAAAAGCAGGCGAAGCTCCAACTCAATCTTCTCCTTCTGATAACTATTTCGAACAAGGGTTCAATTGGTCACTGACATTGAATTCAGGTGCGCCAACGGAATAAAAATAGCTGAGCTACATGTTGCGATGCGACGATCATCCAATAACACCAAATATTGTTCAAAACTTGTCTCCAAACACGGTCAAGATTGCTGCCAAGGGCCGCCATCTTGCAGGAGCCAAGCCCTGCATCAAATGCAAGGGAGAACATGACCGCGCACGCTCACGCAGCTTTACTCTGCTGCTGTCGGCCTTGTGAGACGCAAAGTCCAACTCTACCTAAAGCTCTTCAAAAGAACTTCACGTCTCCAGCCTCTGTCCAGTACAAAAACCGTCAACCACTCATTCTGGAAGAACCCACCCAACAGGGTAGGCCGGTGTCCATGCTATGACAAGAACATTGGATTCGACAGGGGCTCACACATCTAGCACTTAGTGCTCAGAGCTTGTTCTGATCTTTCAAGTTCACGAAGCAGTGGCCAGTCGCGTAGAAATGACAAAAGCGGCAGGCGAAGTTGCTGCGTGAACAAGCGTTGTGGCGGCATGGCTCCCTGCTGCACCAAGGGCAGGCACTTTCCGACTCACGGCGAGTCGGCCGCACAAGCGCTCCGACGAGCCATTTGATTTGCCCCTTGCAGCGGTATGCCTTGACGTTGCCAGTCTGCAGGATGGTCATCTCTTTGGTCATGTCCTCGAAATCTTTGACCCACATCCAAACATCTTCTGTTGGGCTGGGTAGGATCACACATTGTACCAAACGGGCGTGCACAACATGGACGGGCACCAGCGGCACTGCCATCACCACTTGCGCCTCTTGCGCCACTTGCGCCGCTCGCTCCATGCTCTCTGCAGGTCGATGGAGTCAACTTTGTGAGAGCTCAGGCTGCGGTCGGCGAGCAAGCTGGCCCGAAATATGTGGCACAGTGTCAAAAGCAAGCGCAGCTCCAACTCAATCGCTTCTCCTTCTGATAACTATTTCGAACAAGGGTTCAATTGGTCACTGACATTGAAATCACGTGCGCCAACGGAATAAAAATAGCTGAGCTACGTGTTGTGATGCGACGATCATCCGATAAGACCAAATCTTGTTCAACACTTGTCTCCAAACACGGTCAAGATTGCTGCCTTCCACCAATGGCACAAACGAGCTTCTCGAGGCCCTTTGTTGGGTCAAAACGGGACGAACCTCAGCTTCCGGCCACTGGAGCTCAGAACGGCCGTGTGATACCTCACGGCGTCCATGGCACCAGGTGTCCTATTCTCATTTTGTTGGGAGGCGGCACCCTCTTTTTGGGGGGTGGTGCTAAAGGGAAACCAAAGGGAAACCGATTTCTATGTTGGGGCTCTGAAAACAGGCCGCCCAAGTGGCAAAAACACCCAAAATAGGTGGCGTTGATTCTTTTGCACTGGCCGTATTGATTCGGAAGGTTGCAAACGCGGGTGCAACTAGGCGAACGACCTGTCGGCGTGTCCCCCAAAAAAGATGCTGTCAGCCCCTCATACTGCCAACGTCCAACGCATCATGTCAAACCCTGTATGCTAAGCTGACAGTCGCCCTTGCGTGCCCAGTTGAAGGAAAGCAATACCAGGGCCATCGCCGCTTTTGGAACGGCAGACGTGGTCACATAAATGAGTTCGATGTTCAACATGAGCTAAATGTCCGACACTTGGAGAACATGCCTGGGTCTTTAATGAGGGGACCTGGCTCTCCTTTTGGCTTCCCTTTGAAACCTAAAGAAGGGAGGTAGTTTCACAAAACGACACAACCACATCCAAATGGTGCAAACACGCCTATGCCCACGAACCAACCAAACAACCAACCAACCAACCAACCAACCAACCAACCAACCAACCAACCAACCCAACCAACCCAACCCAACCCAACCCAACCCTAACCTAGCCTAAGCTAACCTAATTTAACCCAACCCAACCAACTCAACCAACCAACTACCCAACCAGCCCCCAAAATGAGTGGTGTATTTTGGGCTTCCCTTTCCAACTGGCCCAAAACTAGGTGCTGTTTTCAGCGTACCCTTTGTGGGGTGTGCAAAGGAGACCAACATGTTGTGGTGTTGCAAGGGAAACCAGCAGCAAATCCGAAGCCATATTGAGGGTTCCACAAAAAAACACGTTTGAGGCAACCCCAAACAAAAAACGTTTTGAGGTGTCCCTCCCCCCCTCAAGAAAAAAAAAGAGAGGTGTCCCCAAGAAAACATTAAAAAGGTACCTCCCAAACCACGCCACCCGTGTCCCACTTCCGCCTGCCGCAGGCCGCACGCCAGGCTCTCACGCCCTGCAAACTCCCGCCCGCCCGCGCGGGGGCGCGCACCAGGTGCGCCTGGCGAAGCGCGGCGGAGGCGTTTGGAGGGCGGAGAGGGTGGGCCTTTTATCTGCCCAAAGGCTCCTGGAGCTTTCAATGGAAGACCCGCCCCTCCCATTAGACACCCCCGTGATTGGGAGTCAGGTCGTTATAATTCACCCAGTTTTATACAAGACTGGGCTTCCATGGGGTTTAAAACCACTCCGAAAGGGGAGTCTCTGGTTTTGAGGGTGCCCTTTTTTGGAGTGGGAAAGAACATAAAGCGCCAGGGGCCACCTATGTACAGACACATCCATCTGTGAGTAGTACATACCTCTTTGTACCCCTTGGTTCCCTGCTTACCAAGCCACTTGATGGGTATATGCCCCTTTTTGAGGAGAGGGGTAACACCAATAAGCCTTGTGGGGTTGCATACTCCAGGGGTATGCAAGGGTATGCACGATGCAAGACGCTTCCGAAAATGGACATCAGGACTCTCGGAAGCCCCGGGCATCTGAGGCGTCTGAGGGGAGTAGAGAACACCAATCTAAGGGTTGTTGTATTACACCCTCGGGAAACGGCCCAAAATGGTCCAAAATAACATGATTTTATCCCGAAAATATGCCTAAATGGAGTCATTTCCCAGTGGGCGCAATCCCAGGGCGTAATACAAAACCCTTACAACCCAGCAGTTGGGATTAGCAATCCCCTATGGCGTGGGCAGTGGAGTTGGTCAAGGATGTGCCTACCAGGAAGAACTAAGGTTGTGCCTACCTGGTCAAGGCTGTGCCTACCAGGAAGAACTCAGGTTGTGCCTACCTGGTCAAGGCTGTGCCTACCGGGAAGAACTAAGGTTGTGCCTACCTGGTCAAGGCTGTGCCTACCGGGAAGAACTAAGGTTGTGCCTACCTGGTCAAGGCTGTGCCTACCAGGAAGAACTAAGGTTGTGCCTACCTGGTCAAGGCTGTGCCTACCGGGAAGAACTAAGGTTGTGCTACCTGGTCAAGGCTGTGCCTACCGGGAAGAACTAAGGTTGTGCTACCTGGTCAAGGCTGTCCTACCTGGAGTTGGTCAAGAATTCTTGCTTTGCATTCAACGACTGGCTGTCCATCGGCTGAGTCAAAACTCCAGCGAGATCCGCCTCTCCACGCCAGGCGCCGTCATCTGGCGCGAACGCGGCGAACGAGGCGGGCGCGAGAACTCCCCAAGTTCTGCGCGGTGACAGGCCGAGCTCCAAAAGGGGGCTAGTGCAAACACCAGGGTCTTGCACGAAGCACGAAAGCAACGCCGATCAGTCCCTGCAGCTCCCAGCCATGCCATCCCCCTTGCCTCTGGGCAGCATCGGATCGCGAGCGCACTGACCATGATGGTTCTCCCCCCAGAAATACCTCGGCGACTGAGCACAGGGCTCAAACTTGCAGACCTCCGTTTTGGCCCTCCTCCTTCCACTAAAACTGTTTGTTTCCTCGTGGTGCCCCATAAAAATAAAAAAAAATACAAAAGGGGGGCTCCCCCCCCCAAAAAAAAGAGAGGAACTCACATGGGATAGTCTCCTTCCGCCCCCCAACCAAAAAAAACACAAAAAAAGGAAACAAGCAAGCCAGCAGGCTGCCCCCCCCCAAAAAAAAAAAAAGAAAAGAAAAGACAAATAACCAGAAACAAGCCAGCCAGCAGGCTCCCCCCCACAAAAAAATAAGCTCAGGCGATATCCCCAGCAGCACCACCCCCGGACCACCCCGCAGCCCTCGCAGAACCTGGTGGAACAGTGGTGGAACCCTGGTGGAACCCTCGTGGAACCTTGTCTCAGGGCCACCCTGGACCACCCCGAACCCTATCTGGGCTGAGACCCCAAAGCTTTCAGCTGTTGGGGAAAAAGAAGAAAAAAGAAAGAACAACGATGGCGCCGCAATTTTCCGCCCGTCGCGCTCCCATCGAGCTGCGCCGCGCCGGTGAGGCACACGGCGGCCACGTGGCTGTCCCCCGCCGCCACGTCCACGGCAGACACGGGGAAGGTCGCCTGGCCCGTGGCTCGTGTGGTCCCCAAACGAATCCCCGTGGTTTTCTGGGCTGTCCGCTTTCTGATCCCCCGCTAAAAGTGAATAAGCTTTAGTGGATTCAATGGAAAATCCCACTAAACACTAAAAGGCCAAAAAGTTAAGGGGATGGCTGGGAACCACCAAGTTTTTGGTGGGGGTCCAGGAACCTGGCTTCGTTGGCTTGATTGATTGCTTGCTTGCTTGATTGATTGTCCAAGCATTCTTGCGCAGATTTCCGATGATTCACAAGGGTCTGTCTTGTAAAACCGCGGGCGCTCAAACATGGTGAGCTGTTCCCGGAAATAACCCACTCCCAAAGTGTCATCTTGAGGGCACCCAAACGGGAGACCAAAGAGAGCCAAAAGCCAACTATGCTTTCGGGGCCATATTTTGAGACAAACCCATGTCGTACTGCATGGGGTGACGCCCGGGAATCGGGTTGGACAATTGGGTTGGCTTTTTGCACTTAGGGGATCTCATTTGCTGCAAAGCCCAACCGTTGCCCGCTTCAGACAAGGAAACATCGAGAGATCCTCGGATTAAGCCAAGCACGCGGGTATGTGTCAAAACTACAGGCCTCTTTGGATATCCTCAAAAAGAGACACTCCCACATGGCCATGGGTCAAAAATCGTGCCCCCAGTAAACATCCCGATCCCCATGAAATAGACCAAAATGGGTGGTGAATTCACCTACCCTACCCCAAACAGGAATCCCAAAACGGTTTTGACCCACCTTTTGTGAGATAATTGGCGACCCCCTTAAAAAGGAATCCTTCCCTACGAGCTGGTCGAACACTTTTCCCGCACACGACAGCAACCGCTTGTGTCCCGACTTTGCACCGGTGACCCGGTGACCCAGTGACTCGGCCTTGCAGGGCCGCCGCCACGCAGCCGCATCCTGAAGCATCGGTCCAGATTCTTTCTTGGATTTGCCTGTGGCTCAAAAAACCGGGTAACCCCAAAATGGGTGGCCCGGTCGGTAAGTGGAAACATGAATTGACCAAAACCTGCGGTTTGCCCCGGCTGTTTCATTTTGAGCCACATCCATTTCTAGAGTTCCTCCCCTCCCCCTTTTCGTGGGTTTTAACCGGAAAACCCGCGGATTTTAGCGGGGTCCCCCCGAAAACAAGCAAGACACCACGTCAAACACCTGCGCTCAGCGCATGCCTTTCCGATGCGAGAGACCGACCTCTCAGCTCCGCCCCGGTCCTGCGCATCCAGCACGCGGCCCCAGAGGTAGACATCCCCGGCGCGGCTCATCGCGATGCTGTGGCCATTGCCACAAGCGACCTGCGGCCCAGTCCCCCGGCCCGGCAGGGATCGAGGGGATCCAAGGGATCGATGGGGACCTCACCTAGGCCAAGTCATCCAAGACCTCGCAACCCCAAGCCTGTCCGGTGGGGAACAAGAAGCGAACACCCACAACAGGGATCCGGATGCATGGAAAAACACCGATCGGACATTGCTTGCCTTGTAAATGCTGGTTTCGCGCTTTGTTTTGGTGGAGGAAAAGAAAAGCAACATGCTTCAACTGGTGGCAAAATGGAGATCTTTTAAGGAGCCCTGCTAAACCTGACACGCTGGGGGGGTAGTTTCCCCATGCACAGGCTCGTTCCCTTTCCGTTTCAAGAACAGACTGTCAATGCCCCCCCCCCAGAGCCTTGGCGAGGTGCACCTCGGGAGAGAAGACACAGCACCGCTTGTAAGTTATTTTTCTGTTTTTTGGGGGGATACCTTTTTCTTTGCAGATCTTAGACCCCCCTGTTGAGACACACCCAAGTGGTCTTCGTG